TGCTATACAGGGGCGGATCTAGGATTTTCTCGAGGGGGCGAATTTTCAAAAAATTTTCGAAATTTTATCGACTTTTTTTCAAGTTGACCAAATTCATTTTCTGAGCTCTCACAAACCATTATAAAGACACTGTTTTGACTAAATTTTTTGCGCCGCAGACAGAAATTTGAGAAAAAAAAAGGCCAAAAAAGGTATCTTTTGGGTATTTTTTGGAAAATGTTGACAAAAAAATCGCGTTGTTTTGGCGCGCGCACCACTTCCTCCCCCCTTAATATCATTTGTCTCTTCTCCCTTTCATTTTGGTCCACAATCCGTTTAAAATTAAGCCACATAAACCATTTTGAATTCAGCGTACCTGCTCCTCAATTTGAAAATTAATTGGAATTCACCAATACTTTTTCTAAGAAGTTATACTGAGACTGCCAGATAATCCATCAACGCAAACCCAAAGCTAATAACTTGTTTTTATTAATATTGGCGCCTTTTGAAAGTCGAGAGTGCTAATTAAAGTTGAAGTCCGCCTGTCAAAAATGGCGGAGATCTTAAAATAGTACAAAGGGAAGACCCTCTGGGTCGGCAAGGGGTTGAATCTCTGCAAGTTAAGTTTAATTCAAGTAATTTATCTACCAATTCTCAAGAGTGCCAAAGATTATCATAATTTTAAATCTTCTTTCCGACGGTTCAGTATGATGCTGATAGTAACATAGAATAATTGATTCCTGCTGTATGTCATTCACATCCATCTAGGTGATTGATTTTTAAAATAACAACAAAAACGAGTCAAAACAAATTGGTTTGATAGTAAATTTTATCAAAAGTTATTTAAAGGTAGTTTTGCAAAAGTAGCATGACAATTTTTCATATCGTAACGAGTTTATATATTTGTTGTTAATTGTTTTTTTACTCCATCCTTCCAAAAAATATATACCTTTATAGAAGTTACAAACTTATCTTATGAGGGAGTTCAATGTAATTTTTTTGAAAGAGCTTCTTTTACTTTTCCATCTATGCCAAGCTTCAAATATTTTCTTGGCCAAAAAACGCCCAAAGCCTTGTATATGTTTTAGGTTTTTGGAAATAAAAGTTTCTTATGTTTTTCTGGTTAAATGCAACTCTTCATTATCGACTTCACGGCTCAGATTTGTATCTGACATTTTTCGTGAATGATATCGGTTTTAATGATATTTCATCACATCAGAGCTCCAAATGCAGCAGGGGCACAGGCTGTTTTACCCCAAGTCTGTCAAAAACTCTATAACTTGTTTAAATTGATAAGCCTAGCAATAATCAATAATCAAATTCTAATTCAACTGGAAAGTCGATCATTCCTAGTAAGTCACGTCTCGCAAAGTAGTTGTAGAATTATTGCATCAATGTATCTTTTTTTTCGAAACATAGCCAATAGACAGTTGGAAAAAAGTGAATGGACGGCAGTAAAACAAAAAACAAAACAATGATTTTTTCTAAATCTCAAGTTATGAATTTCACAGAAAAATTAAATAACTTTGAAGCTCTTTCAAATTCTAATACAATTTTTGAATAACATTTTTTCGACCAATTAGCCTAAATTGAGAAAACTGGATCAAAGAATATCTTTTTCCAGCTTGGAAATCTGAAAATTAAACTCCACTTTAGAATCTAGAAGTGGATTACGTTTTTCATGATCTTTCACAGTTCATTAATGGTTTTTGCCTTCCTTTTAACAAAGGAAATGAAACAGAACTTTAAAAGAAATCAAAAGTAAGAAAAGCGTAAATTTTAAACCTGAACAAATTTTAAAACTTTTTCTGAAAAAAAACTAACGAAAAACTTGGCACGACCTTAATAAGAGTCTGAACTACGTTGAACGTCTTTAAAAGTGTGTATTTCACAACCGATATTTCATCAAAAATTACTAACATTTTGTCAAACATCAAGTGAATTGCCATTTTACAGATTTTTCAGTTAGGGAAACGTGCTGTGTGACTTTTAATAACTTATAACTCCGTTTCTTTCTTTCTTTAGCCCATGTTGGGCGGGTTAGGCTCATCAGACTCCAGGCTAATGAAATTTGCTACTTCAAAAGGCTTTAACAACAGGTCTGTTGGAGTAAAAGGGGAGGAGAAACGCTTACATCGGAGGGTTCTGTGACGGTACTGTTCAGAGGAGTCGATGATTGGAGGTAGGATACAAATGACTTTTGAGGTAGAGGTTTCTGCTAGGAACTGGGTTAGGAGGTTTGCATCGTTTTTTAAGAAAGGGCTTATAGTGGTTATAAACAAAAGTGAAAACTTCTGAGTCGTTGAGATTTAGTGGCGGGTTTTGGTCGGTTAACAAGAATTCTGCGTTGTCTTTTAAAGCACTCATAAAGGATTGTTGAACTTATGAGCTCCACTGCAGTTGCGCAATGGAGCTCATAAGAGTTGAGACAGTTATGACACGGAGGAGAACTGCAGGTGATTAAAAGAAGTTTTGCTGGCAAGTTTAAAAATTTATGTGTAGCAAGAACAGTACGTAATTGAGGGCTGTTTTTGGTTGCAACCATCAGTGATGAAAAAATCAAGGGTGGAGAAAGGGGTTGTGGTGTGTGGCGTTTGGGAGGTGCTTTGTTAAAAAGAGATGAATGGGCCTCGATGTACTGTGGTTGGTGGAAATTGTTATTGGGAGAGAAGTGGCTTTGGTGCCTAGGAGAGATAAAACTTACATAGCAGTCAAGAATGGGCAGTAAAGACCACGGTGACTTTCTTTTGAAAACTTAAGGCCTCTACATTTGAAATGTATCCAGCCACATTTGCTTGGTTACGGGGTATGTATTGGTTGCAAAGGGATTATTTGTAGGGACCAGGGTTCCGATTAATGAAGGAGGGAAGAAGTAATGTGAGTATTAGCAGAGTATTAGCTGGCAGACGCTCCATAACCAAAACCCCGAAACTTCTGAGCTTCCTCCGACCCATCGGAGGGGAGGCTTGAAGCTACTTGGAAGCTGGCCTGTCAGGCTGTCATATCCACCATTCGATGCAGTTTCGTTTAAATCCAGCATTTAACTCATTAGACCAGAGAGAATTAATCGAAATTTTACTGCGTGTTATCAAAAGTCGTGCTTTATCACAGAGGTAGATTTCTCATTAAATAGGCTTCGATCTCATTTAGCAAACTTTGTTTTGTTTCTGCCATCGAATTTAAATTCGCTACCTTCGCTAGAAGTCTTTCGAAAGTAAAGAACCTCAGAAACACAATTTTAAAAGAAACCATCTCAGAATGAAGAATAGGACAAACAAATTTTGTAGTTTCATGAAAATTTGCAAAAAACTTGTTTTTCAGATATCAGAGGTTACCAAACTCAGAAATAATTAGCTGCTCAACCAAAATGGTGAAATTTTTGAACGTCCATGATAACTTCTCTGCCGGCCTGAATTATTGGTAGAGTCTTATACAAACACAGAAAGCAGCAAGAGAAATATTGTTTCTGAAAATTTGAACCTTGCCAACAGACATTTGAAAAAGAGTCTAAAAATGCAAGAAAACAGAAAAAAACTGGCTTGTTTTTTCTTGAAAAAAATTCACCGCTCAAAATTCTTAGTCAGAAACGGATGGCGTTAAAATTCGTTCAATTTTTAGAACATTTTATGATTAGCACTTTTTTGATTAAACTAGCCCGTTTGAGAAAACTAGATCAATAGTTAATTTTTTTTGTTTCGCTGGAAAACCCGGTAATTGAATTTCATTTTCAAAATTGGAAGTCAATCACATTTTTTGTGGCCTTTAAACTTTCGCTGTTTGATAGCGGAGTTTACATTTCTTTTAATGAAGGAAATTAATTGAACTTCAAAAAAAAAAATTCGAACCGCCAAAAAAAACTGGAGACTGAAATGTTTTTTAGATTTTTCTCTAGAAAAAAATGATCGCGACCTATGTAAGAATCTGAACTACGTTCATTGACTCTAAAACATGAGCTGAAGAAAATATTATCATCAATAGAGGCATTGATGATCCAAATATTTTTTATGCTTTTCGTATTGATAGTTTAAAACTTCAGAATTTTTTTTGATAAACCTAAGCTAGAAACTAAGCTGGCAGTGTCACTTCTTCAGGTCAGAATTAACCCACCAAATTTGCCGCCTCAAGCAGGCGCAAAATGACTACTCTAAGTTACCAGCTGGAATAGCGTACCTGATGTCATAATTCCAGTAAATTTTTCAACGAAAAATATAGTTCTCATTCACAATTACAATACAATTATTCTCGCAAGTAATTATTCCATTCAGACGGACGAATGTCTTAGGAGGCCGATTTACTGTATGATTCCTGGTACCTTTTAACTAAAAATACATAAAAATTGAGCAAACGATTGCTTCGAGCCTGCAGTCTTCGGCTTAAAATAAAGAAGCTTTTACCATAGACAAACGACAATTGGGAAATAGTCAATCAATGCAAGGAAATGGAAAAAATGACTCGTTTGAAAAAACGTTTCAACATTTTCAACTTCGACGTTCAAAGTGGAAAAAAAACAATTTAAATAGATAAAGTTTTTGAAATGCTAGAAGTCGATCAAGTTTTTCGCAAAATTTATTTGTTTGCTGTTCGATGGGGGAGTTTGACTTCCTTTTAGCCAAGGAAATGAACTGAACATAACAAGAATCAAACCGTGAAAAATTTAAATTGAGCGTGAACAAATTGTTAGACTTTCCCGCAAATATAAAAATATTCACAGACAGGAAAAAGTTGTCTCACTAAGAAAAGATCATAAAACACAAACACTAAAAGATCAAAAAATGAAACTTATTTTAATGAAGTTCCACCACTCCCCCTCCCACCTTTCAATTTCAGTGTTGAAAAACCACTTTAACGTTGTCATAATGCTATGAAACTTGACATGGGGAGTGAACATATTTGTTCTTCATACCTTAAAACGTAATATCACACGTTTAGCCATAATGACACGTAAAAAAATTATTAAAAAAATGAAAGGTGGGTGAAAGTGGACAAGAGCCTACAGCTTGATAAATTTTTGATGAAAACAGCTTGTTAAAGTTATTAATTCATAATTCTTCGTTCCTGATAAAGGTGAACAACGTCCAATACTTTCATTATCTTTTCAAGTCTTTTTAGAATAAAAGTAAAACAATTTAGCAAGTTTTCTACAGTAAAACAGATTTCTTCTCAACTTCCAAATTCAGATTCGAAAACTTGGAAAACAGCGGAATTCCTGTCCTTGAAAGTGTGAAGAAAATACCGAGCAGTGTTTTGTGCAGCATTTCTTTGGCGTCCATGAGAAAAAGTCGATACTGGATCCTCAGATATTCTCTGTAGTTTGACCAACTATTCTTGACCGTGCAGCTAGTCATGATTCGATACCTAAAAAAAGGAAAATTGATTGTTTTTCCGACCATCATCGTTTAAACTGTTCTTTAATTAAAAAAATGAGGCAATCATGATAGAAAAATGTAAAAAAATTGTAAAACCGATTATACAAATAAAATAAATTGAATCACAAGTATTACTATCCATACATATACTTACATTAGAATAATTGAGCAATTGAGAGTAAAAAACCAAGCCTTGATAACTTCTTCTGACATTTTGACATTTTAGTAATAACATCTTACCAGTACATTTTAAACTATAATATTGCAATATGACTACTCGAAAACCGAAAAACAAATAACTACCAAATATTTCATCAGAGAGTATTTTCTCACCAAATAATACTGTCTATCAAAATGGAGGGGGGGGGGGACAAAATATTGCAACAGCAACATAATTTTGAAAAAACCTGGTCTCAGTACTTCTGGCCATTTCATTCATAAATACAATAAATAGACTTATCAAATTTGTGCCAGAGCCCTCCAATTGAATTAAAGCTGGCAAATGTCAAATTCAAAAATGACGAGAAAATAAATATCAATCAAACTTCATCGTTTTCAAACAATGATCAGTTCACGGAGTTTTGCTCTTTCAGTTTGTCTCTTTCACCGTTTAAATGTCACTTCATATATTAGTTGAGTTATTAAAGCATAGTTGACTGAAGTTTTACCGAAGATCTTCAAATTTAGTCAACAATGTCAAAAAATTATGCTCCGATTATATTTGTGCTGTTGCTCATTAACTGTTGCTGTTTTTTCACACCTGGCTTCGGCCGAAAATTGACAGATCAAAAACTACCCAGTGTTTATCTCCATGCCTTGAATTTGGGCAGATTGCGTGAAACTTCACCAGAGACGGACAAAAAAGAAGCTGAGAAGAAAAGGCAAGTAAATGATGGCCAACAAAAATTATCTCATTTGAAATTTTAGAGCAAAAAAAAAAACAAAAACTACGTAAAGGCGTATATTTTTTTAAGATTATTTCACAAAAAATAGAGACAAATCTTCGTCACTCTGTCAGAAGTCAATCTGATTTTCCAGCCAGTTCTTTATTCAAGTGAATTTTCAGGCGGGTAATTTTTTGCTATTCATTTATCGAACTTTGTCGTTTTTAATTTCTGTTTAAAAATCATAAAACTATGAGAACTTTTAAAACTAAAGCGGATACTAAATTTTCCTAAGTAATTACATAGACGTTGTTAAATATTGACCAATAGTTACAAATTTCTATCGTGTAATTTAATTATTCCAGACTCTTTGCTAGATTTAAACAGGACTGCTCGTATCAGGGCGAAGCCTTGAATAATCCGACTGCCTTGTAAGGTCTATGGAGCAAAAATAACATGAAAAAATTAAATGTAATAAAATAAAAGAAATTTTTTTTCTTAATTTGAGATTTTTTGTGCAAATCATCCCCCCATACGCCATAAAAAGTACAAAATGATAGATTTTGCGCATAGCAACAAATCACTTATGGCAAATAAGCTTCCTTCGACAAATTTGCAACGATTTTTAGGAAGGATTAAATCTCCGCTTACGCGTAATAGCACGAAATATGTCCCAAATTGGCCAAAATGGCAATCTTTAAACCCCAAAACTTTACAAAAAATGATCACAAATGAAATATCTTTTCAAAATTAGGCCAAAAAATACCTTTTGAATGATTTTTAAAAATTCAATCAAAAATTGTTAGCTAAGAAGTCGAAATTGGTCTGAAGAAAAAAAACACCCCGAGCACAAATATTCTGTTAGTTTCGCCGTGAATAAGAAGTGTTGTAAAAAGACCTGCTCACCCAAGTAGTGAATACATGGGAATAATTCAAGTTGTATATACGTATAAGTTCGGACAGACATAATTCAATAAACTGATCAATTAAACAAATTCTGAGCAATTTGCATGCTAAAATAACCTTTCAGACACAAGTCATCTGTCGAGCGTGACCGTTACAACAAAAATGCATTTTAATCCGCTACTTTTTTTTGCTCCTATCTGTGTAAGGAGAATTAAAAGAATCGGAACAGACAAACATAATTAAATAGAGCAAATTATCAATTTCAATAAAAAAAATTTGCATGCCAACGCTAGTTTTTCCTTTCAGACAAAGTAATCAATTGAAAATTCAAAAAATTGCGACACAGAATCAAAGCTGCAATTCGCAAACACGAGCGACAAAAATAGCTCTTAAACGGTAAACATAGCCAATCGAAGATTGGAAAAGAGTAATGAACGCAAGTAAACATAAAAAAACACTGACTTTCTTGAAAAAAAAAAACTCAACTTTCGAACTTCAAAGAAAAAAAAACAGATGCCCTTTAAGCTCTTTGAATTTCTAAAAATTTATGATGGGTGCTTTTCTGATAACATGAAGTCAAGTAGAGAAAATTAGATCAATATGTAAAGTTTTTATTCCGCTGGAAATCTAAAAATTAAATTCCACTTTCGAAACTAGAAATCATTCACGTTTTTGTTTCGCGCCATTCCCACGTTCGTATTAGGAGAATGCTATTTCTGTCACTTTCCGCAGATGAATTTCAAATGAACTCAAAAAGTGTATATATACCTAAGTGCATTCATAAATGCAGCAATATGTATGAATGCACATCTGGAGTTATTAAAGACTTTTAGGACATTTCCTGAAAAAAAAAACAAAACCTGCAAGACCGATATAAGAGTCTTCACTGCGTTCATTACTCTTAAAAATCGAAAAAATGAAAAAAAAAATTAAGAAAAACAAAAGTTTCTCTATGAGCCAAAAACGAAACGCCTCGTCCTCGCATTTGCGCCATGCTCACTTAAAAAAGCGCAATTCATATCCACCCACCAATAAAGTAGATAGAACAGACGCTATGAAATTGCGAATGCAAAAAGGCCACCAAATGAGTTCTTTTTGAAGCTGGGTTAGAAAAAAGTGGATTCGCAAAGTTGTGTAAATATGATAAAACGGCAAAGAAATTCAAATTTGTTCCATCTACTCGAATAATTTTCTTGAAACTCTTTATATTTGAACAGAAAGATGGAGGATTGCAAACAAAAGTGCAAAAATGTGTCAGGCAACAGACATCGTTACAAATGCTCGGTGGAGTGTATGAAACAAATATCAGGAAAGAAGTTGTTAAGACTAACGCGTGAACACGGGCAACAAATCTAGAGACAACACATGGACAACAAGAAGACAAGAATGCATGGAATATGTACTACTGCAGAAAAAAATTGTCTGAGGATATTTATAACAGTTCAAACAATAAATTTTCCTAAAATATTTTTTAATACTTCTGTTTATTAAATTGAGCGATTAAGAAAAATCTTTAGCTAAACAGTAAATCCTTAATGCTTTTCAGACCCACCGTAAGTGTTGTGGTGGACTGACCAAACCCATTTTAAAACTATTTTAAAAATCAGTACAAACCCAAAATACTATTCGTATAACAATTTTTGCAAACACTTAAATCAACATACCCGACTGACAGTTGGAAAAGAGTAATAAACACAAGAAAACAGAATAAGATACTGACTCAATGTTTGAAAAAACTTCAGATTGCCAAATTTGATGTAAAAATATCTGCCCTTTAAGCTGTTTGAATTTCACAAACAATTTCAGACTGGCGCATTTTTGATTAAAATAACCTAATTTGAAAAACTGGATCATTAGGCAAAATTTAGGCATCAGAGTAATCTGAAAACTAAATTCTATTTTCGAGATAAGTCGATCACATTTTCGTAATTCTTACAATTTTGTTGTTCGAATGTGGAGTTTACTTTCCTTTTAACAAAGGAAAGAAAGTCAATTTAAACAGAAATCAAAAGTCAAACTGCGGAAAAAAATAATTGAGCGTGAACAAATTTTAGACTTCTTTCTTATAAAAGCACAAAAAAATCTTCAAGACCTGAATTACGCTCATTACCTTTAATATTTACTAATAAAGTAAAACTTGCCTGTTAACTGGTTCCCCGTGCGTCTGTACTATTGATCTGATAGTGTTGATATTTCTGATAACTAGAAGAAGCGATAAAGGCACTGCTCTCAATACTGCCATCACTTTATTGAAGTGGTCTTTCACAAAGCCACTCATGTGTGCAAAGTCACTTTGGTCCATGGCTGAAAACAAATTGAAAGTTGCAATTTAGGAACAGTGACCGTTTCCGTTAAAAAAGCCTAAAAATGACGATAAAATATTAAAGCATACGTTAAGCCTCCATAGATTAAACCTCCAAAAAAAAACTTTTTTTTCAATATACCTCCATATTTACAGTCCCACTTTTTGGAAAAGCCTTCTTTGTGTGCATCAAACTATATTTTGCTAATACTTTTAAATTGATTGCACAATTTTGAATTCTCACTTTTCAAGAAATAGGCAAAACCTCAACCACATTGCGCTTTTTTGCTGTAAATAAAAACTTGAGAAGACAAATTTTTTAAACAAAAACTTAAAATAACAAATAGTACAGCATTAAACAGTTTGTAAAGCTTTACAGTTTTTGCACGAACAGCAGAAGTCTAATTTATGAATAAGCAAACTCACTTTTGAAGTATGTGGCAAATGGCACATTGACATACCAGGGCCTCTGGATGAGAATGGCGGCCAGAATGGCAGTGTCGTGCAGTCCACTCACCCCCAGTTCAGAAGCATCTCGCAACATACTACTCTGCTCATCTAGGATCATCGATTTCCAGAAGTTGCCCAGCTTCTTCTGTGGAAAATGAACAGAATTTGTGGACATAAAATAGTATTTGCGAGTTTCTTCTATTGAATAAAAAAATGCTAAAAGAAAACACATTTGAATTTGAATTTAAAAACCGATCATAAGACAGTGAAGCAAAAACACTCGCTCAAAAGTCTTGACAAAAATTACTGATAGGCAAGACCAATTTTGCACTTGGGCTCAAAGTGGATGCCTTAATACAATTTCGTTTTCTGAAATTATCGAAGGAGAACAGTTTGCAGGAATTGCAAAAACCTGATTCAGTCAACTTTTGGGATGTCATTAGAACATATCTAGAAGACTCGTTTTTTGCAGTACAATCTCATTTCATCTGCCACATGCAAGCAATTGACATAATTCGACGTTGATATAAAATAACAAGGATAGCCGGTTGCTGTGCAAATAGCACAGAATGTTCCGACCATATTCATAAAAACTGCAATGTTCTATCAAATTATTACAAGTTCTTCAAATGTTCTTCAAATTATATCGTTTTTTGTACGTGGAAAAATCGACCAATTGTCTTTAAAAAAAGAATAACAAAGAAAAAATGAAAAAACATCTCAAAAAAAATTTCGAAATTTTGTAACTTTTTTAACAATGTTTTCTGAAATTTTGGTTAAGAAATATTCATGCCAGAGAAGTGCCAAATATAGCTATCAAAACTAATTCGCTTTGGTAAAATGAAGTTTTTTCAGCTTAAATGACCAATTTAACAAGTTATCACCACTTTATTTGGTCGAAATAGGACGAAAAATGTTTCACACCGTTTTTTCTCGACAATGAGTATTTTTTTTGGAAAATTTTTGTTGTCGTTCGAATAACGACTGGAAGAGCTTGAATATGATATATCACTCAATCCAGTCCGATTTTTTCGTCGGACCTAATTTTGCGTGGAAAACAAAAAAAAACACCCGAATACAAAGTTCCTGCCCATCTTCAATGGTCGGAACAAAAATTGCGAGTTTCTTCTATTGAAACTAACATAAAATAATGTTGCACTCAAGCTCAAAGTGAATTATAAGAAGCAATTTTTAACAGAAGTTCCAAGGCTAGCAATGCAAGTTTTTGAAATGCTGTCACCAACTTTGACTTGAATCACTCTTTTACATCTTTCTAAAAATACTTGAGTCACAACTCTGGTTTCTGGAATTCGACAACCCTAAAATAGATTCATTATTCACCTGTACGTGTGGCTCCACCCTTTGGTACAAGCCATGATCCAAAATCACCAGCTGGATATCCCCCTTTCCATTAGGGTTCTTCCTCACGAACAAGTTGCCCGGGTGGGGGTCAGCATGGACAAACCCAGACTGGAATATCTGGTATCCGAACACTCGGCACATTCGCTCGCATGCTTTTTTAACATCTATTCCGTTCGACTTCATGCCTTCCGCGTCATCAACTGAAATTTTTAATAATAACAATAAGAAACCACACTAAGTTTAAAGCTAAAATAGTCCGTGCAGCAAAGAGCATAGTCCAAACATTTAATCAGAAAAACATAAATCAAAAATAAAACACAAATGATAAAACCTTTCTATTTTGCAAATTTGAATATCTAATTTTCTTTTAGGGTAAAGTTTAGGGTAAATAACGGCATTTTGGCACTCGATCCCAACTTTTGAAGATAAAAAATATGGGCAACGAAATAGTTTTTGGGGAAAAAAGTGACTCATGCCGTCGGCAAAAGCTGGGTAGTAGCAATAAAACATATTCGTTTATAGTTTTTAATAGTTTAACCTGAAATTCATGTTCAAAAGAAGCAATTTTAGAAGCAACATTTATCGACTCAAAAAAAAAACAGTTTTAACTGAGACTCACATTCACGAGCAAAGTTAAAGTTCACTTGTTCAAAATACATCACCGCTGAATCTGTATTGCAATTTACTAAATGTCTGCTCACTTTTGCATGCCTCTATGAATTCAGTCGTGAGCACTCTCTTCGAAGTGTATTCCCAGTGTACTTTGGGCACATGTACATAATCGAACCCTTTTAGATCCTCTGCACACTTCTCGGCATTCCGACCTTCAAACCAGCTACATTCAATCAAGAAACTGATTATTTATAACTAATTTATCACTTTTCCGCTTTTAGAATCAATATGGGCCTTCAAACCAGCCAATGTCAATGTATAAATTAGCAAAATACATTTTTTTAAATATTTAAATATAGAGTATTTTCAATAAATGATATCCGTTTTATGAGAAACAATCTAGACCCTTTCCCATTCCTTTCAGAAAGTTCAAAAACCATAATTCAACATAATTCCTCTGTAACACACTTTTACCACATCGAAAATTTGTTTTTGACCGACTGAACATTATATGAGCGTACAAAAAACTGTTTTTGACACGGTAGCTGTTTTTTGACAAATTTGGACTTTAAGCCTTTTAGAAGAGCTCGGACAATAAATTGAGTTGAATTACCTGAAAGAAAATATTTATTTAATAATAAAATAATTGTTTTCCTTAAGGTAATTCAACCAAAATTTTATTCATGACATTTTTTAGAAAATCCGTAACACATTCTGAGCTCATGTGAAAGAGTTTTTTAAAGAAACGCTTCAGAATTATTATTTTCCCCCCAAAAAATTAAACGACATGAACATAGTTGGTATTTATTTGTTGTGTGCCTTCGTTGATGAAGTCCAACTCCTGTTTGAGAGTGTCGCAGAGCTCAATCACAGCCCACTTGAAGTTGAAGCCAGGGAACACATACTCTGCGATGTCCATCAGAAACTTAATGGTCCAAATGTCACCTGACACAAATCAAAATCATGTTAGAACAAAGTAATATAATAGCAGAACTTCTGTTTTAGTTAACCAACTAGAGGCCTAACCTGGAGGTTAATTATTTAAGGTTAACTAAGCTATGGCTGTGCGCTCAATTGTGAGCTCTATCTTACAAGAGCTCACATTGTAAATGCTGGGCTCCATCACTACCGATGCGCCAAAACGGAAGAACCTCCTATAAACTCTAACAATTTTTTCACAAGATTGAAGAATACGCAGCCCACAAAACCGCAATTAATCGTTAATTTGGTTTCACAAAATGCTAACATAGAATTAATTAGAGCAGCCGGTAACTGATCAAGTAGCACAGAATGTTCCGACCATATTCTTGAAAAAAAAACTACAGAAAAGTTTTCATTTTAAAATTTGTCGTTTTGTTTTGTGCGTGGTTTGTTAAAAACATCGGAAGAAATCCTATAACTTAAGCATATTCAAAATTGTTCTCAAAATTGGCGAGATGGATATTAGTTTAGGTCGAAAAATGGCCCAAAAAACAAACAAAAAATGTAGTTTTTTAAAAAGAACTTAGGTTTTTTTGATTCCCAAAATTGCGCTAAACTACTATAAAAGCTAATTTTACTAGAATAAATTTAAAGTTTCGGGGCTTGATAGAATTTTCATGGGTTATCCTCCTTCTACACAAAGCCTATTTTACGCCCGCTCGCTCGCTTTATTCGCTCGAAATTAGAATAAACACAAAAAATTTAAACCGGGTTTTCTAGACAGAGAAAAAACTTTTGAATTTTAAATGCCGTTTTAATTACGACTGAAAGGGCTTTAATTTGATATATCACTCGACCCTTTCCGATGATTATTTGTGTTACCTGATTTTTAGTGCAGAAAGAACAAAAGAAAAACTCCCGAATACAGAGTTCCTCCCCATTTTCAATGATCGGAACAAAAATACTGAGCAAATTTCTCGACATAGAAATATACCTTTTTTCGGATTCGGAACACGACAGAAAAGAAAATCAAAAGATGCAAAGCTCTACGAACACAAGCAAGAAACGATAGAAGAAACTGAAAAAAAAATCGATAAAAATGTTTTAAAAATACGAAAATATGCTTGAAAGATTATCAACTGGCAAAATCATCAAAGTGAAAAATTAAATTGAGTCTAGCGGCAAAATGATTGCAATTACCTAGCTTCACTAAAATTAGTTTGTTAGGATTATTAGAACTCTTTAAAATTAGGTAAAATTTTGTAAGGAAACGCGCTCGCTCGCACGTAAATCATCATTGTTAAGTGCACAAAATCACACAAAATTTTAATTTAGTCTCCTTTAAAGCCTTCCTGATTGGTATGCTGATTTGATTTTGGATAGTGGAAAATACAAAAAATTTATATATAAATGCACAAAATCCATCTATGGAGGAAGTTCTTGAGAGCCACGAGCAATATGTCAACTTTTTAACAAGTTCTCATGGGCACTAAAATTGTTACATTCTATCTCGAGGCACGCGTAAAGTGTTTTCCATTTTCGTGGTTTTGAAAATTTCGAGCGGTGAAAATCCACGCTGTTGCATTAATGTTTCTTTTCATAACTTAGCACTGCCAAGGTAAAAAAGAAGATTAAAATTCCCAGTTTTTTGAGTATCCCTTTCTTCATCATTTTGACTCATCCAGGGGGTTGCATAGAATTGAATTAGTCTGGCGAAACAAATGGCCAATTTACTTCACACCGAGTTAAATTTTTCGGACTCTAAATCATCAATGAAAACAATTCAGTGAAACTACAAAAGATTGTTCTGTTGAAGTTGTTTGCTATAGCAATATTATCTCTCAGTATTGTCTCTCCAGTTTATGGAGTAACAGCAGAAAGTTTTCGAGCAAAATTTTCTCAAAGAGTTTTTAATTAAACTTTTCAAGTTAAAGAAGAATTAATATCTTTCAATACTTAATCGACGCCATGCTGTATAATTTACATGCATAATTTCCATGTAATACACCCCCTCCCCCACTACTTGTATTAAACCTTCTTAGAGAAAAAAGACGAAACTCTCAAATCTAATACGCTTAAAATTTCAGCTGATGAATCAATTAAAATTATTTTCCTTAAATGATTTAGGGGGAGGATGTTAATTTTACCCAATACAGCAAATGCGTGTTTAGTTTACGTCATTAAGACATTCTAGCAAAATTGAGTAGGTCATTCACTCGTAAACAATTACGTCGCACTGAAAGGTCTTCAATAAATTTCATTCTAAATATCACTTTTATGTTATATTTGCGCCCAGTAATTAGAGAAAAGTCATGAACTTCTTTAAATTTTCATTACACTTACTTGCAATTAGCAAGTGTTTTAAAGATATTGAGGCGATCTTCAAACTAAGTAAAATTAGATCTTTCATACTAAACAAAGAGTAGAATATCACAAAAATTTCAGCATAGTTAAAACTTCTCTTTACGATTGTTTCGGGAAAAAATGAAATTTGTTACAGTCCAGTTATTTTTACTTTTAAGTATTTTATTTGTTTATGCAATCAGGCCATCAAACAATCGAATTAATTTGGCGCGTATGTTAGAAAGTCAGTGGATATCAAAACGACCCAAATACTATGAAGGTCATAAAAGAGAAAATACGACCGAACACAAGAATGAGATTATGGAACTACTAGAGACTTTATTTTGATTTAGTTGACTGCAGATAGCAATTTAATTTGACTATTTTCAAATTTTTGTTGCATTTACTATTTTCTGAAGATGAGATTTTTTATGACATTCGTTAGGAGTGTAAAAATGGGAAGAAAGCGATATTTGACGAAAACCAAGAGTAAAGAAACTAGACGAAAATGAAAAAGGAAGAAATTACACGAGAAATTCCTAATTAGATGAAAATTAGTATTTAAATGTAAAATTAGTATTATCCATTGTTACTGTTTAATAGATAATTTTAAAGGGGAGAACAAACGCTCAAAAACAAAAACGCAAAATTTTGGTCAAACAATTTTTTTTAATAAAAAATTTGTGCTGCACTGAATGTTTTTTGGTGAATGTGGTATATCTGATTTGTTTAATAATTATATTCCACTCAAGAGAATTCGGCTTTTATGCCCTTCTACCCGATAATCACCCAATTTCAGCTGTACTGAAGGTTTTCTGTTATAAGAGCAAGTAAGAATACCAAAAAATCTGGACGTTTGAAATAGCGTTCTCAGTCCATATGTAAATTTTTAGAGCCATCTGACATTTCTTAACAAAACTGATGATGGTAAAATTTTCCAGATAATGAATAGACCAAATTAACCTGCCACTCTAGAACATAGCCAACAGAGAGTAGGAAAAAAGATAATGAACGCAAGGAAACAGAAAAAACACTGATCTGTTTTTTCGGAAAAATTTTCGAAATTTCAAAATATAAATATGTAATCCTAAAATCTCTCGGAAATTCGAAACAATTTCTATTGAACGTTTATTGATTAAATTCATTCAGTTTGAAAAAACTGGATCATTAGATAGTTTTTGGGTGGCGTGAATTTAGACGGAACTAATAAAAATGAATTTAGACGTTTAACTTTTTTCTGGAAAACTAGCAATTTGGACAAAAAGCAAAAGGCTCACAAAACGTATTTCTTAAAACAAAATTTTACACAGAAGCGAAGCTTTGCTTCGCAAACACAAGTGAGAACACGACAAAAAGCATCTTTATTAAGTGCAAAAAGAAAAATATAAAATAAGCCACGAATTAGCAAAAAATCGGTTATGTCCAAGATTCGAAACTGCGACCTAGAGACCACACACGGAAGCTTCTTAGCAGATAGAAGATTAAACATTAGCCACAAAAAAAGCAGAGAACAAATACTATGCAATTTTCGATGCTACAGTGTGAAATTTCAAAAAGTTGAACACTTTTAATCAACAATTTTATTTGCGAGCTAGGTTAGAAAAAAGAAGGTTCGTAACAACACGCCAAGCTGACGCTAGAGTAATTAATACAAAAGAGTATAGAAACTCATTGTATATCGATTTTATTATTATTAAATGATTTACAAACGTTAATCCGAATATTGAAACTTTTTTGAAATGCATAAATTATACACAGAGGCGAAGCGGAGCTTAGCACCACTTGCGATATAACACCATTTGCGATACATGAAAAATGTAGAAAAACCTAGGTGAACCAGAATTATCGTACGTCTCCATGACGGACACCTAGATTCCAGCTGAAGCTACGTGTTTGATAATTTTTGAATTTGCTGTATTGATGCAGGACGAAAAAAAAAGATTTCAAAAATTGGACTTTGACCAAAACCTAAGTTGTTTGTCTACTAAAATATGTAAGAAGATCGGAAGTTTTTTAAGTTTTGTTATTTTCCCAAAGACCTAACATTTTTCAACAAAAAACTAAAGAGTAGCCGCTTCTGCAGGAAAAATCTTTCATGGCTATATTTTTATCTCCAATCGTTTTTTCCGAAGTTCTGCGAGTTTGAAAACAGCCAATATAGCCATGATCTGGACTAATTTATGCGCGATTTGAAGATTATATTCATAATGCTGAAAGCATAAAGCGAATTATTTATGCGTGGCGAAATATCCCGCAAAACAAAATCAGTTTGAGGCTAGTTTAAGAAAAACTTGTTTGAATTGAGGCTAGCTACGGTCGTATTAATTTGGTACGACTAGTAGTTTCACACTTGATCTTCGATATTGTCCAAAATTCATAGTTTTCCAATATTTTCTTTTACCCGAAACTATTAGAGACCAATTAAAGGGCAGTCGGAACATTCAGCTCTGCCCTGTTTTACCAACAATATTGTTTCTGACTTTCGAGTAACGCTAAAACTCTACACTCACAAGCAACAAACGGCAACATGGATTTCTTGACACCTGAGAAAAAAATTAAGACCCTGAAATGAAAATCAACTGAAAAGAATCAACAGAATCGATCGATCGCACTGCCTGCCAAATCACAGGTAGTATTCTACTCCATAAACCGCTGGAGCTATTTTTTTTCTTCTGATTCGC